AGATGGACCAAAATGTCAGTCTCGTCTAGGATGATACTTGACCAAATGTCCGGGTGCTGTGGCTCAGCCAAAAGGACTCCTCAGATTAACCGTCACAGGCAGTCAGATGTCCTAGGTGACTGACATGTCCCTGATGGGGACAGTGTGTCAGAGAGAGGGAAGAGTCTCTCTCCTTGTTGGAGAAAAAGTGAGGTGGTTGGCCGTGGGGTTCCCTTGGGCCATAGGAAGTGGGTGGGGTCTTCTGGGGCCTTCACTACCATGATGACAGTGTTCATGGTCATTTTCAGGCTCAGACATGGGGGCAGTTTTGTAGGACAGTTTCTGAAGAGGAGCCCTCTGTCTCCTGTTGGTTGGGTTGGTGTGGCTTGGCTGGGGATGCCCGTGTCCATGGGCAAGCTCGTGCCACCAGAGCCTGTGGAATCAGGCCGCAGCCAAGGGGAGACAGCTTTTCCCACATGTGCCTTCCCTTGCAGATTACCTGGCACCTGGGAACCACTGTTGGAAAATGCCTGCTAAGTGGCCAGGCCACACTCAAGCTTTCTGCGTGGTACCCTTTGCCTTTTCTCTCTGAGAATGTGGTCTTTGGGGGTACACTCACAGGGCTTGGTGCCAACCAACCAGGGTGTGGCCAGTGACTTCCAGTGTGGCCATCAGGGCCTGGGGAGGTGTGCGCCTTCTGGAAGCGAAGGGGAAGGGGACACGGAGGTCCCATTCTGAGTTTGCTCACAGAAGCGAAACATGTCAGGGTTTAAATGGCAGATGCTCCAAGAGCTGGGCGCTGTGTTTGGAAATGGGTTTGGTGTCGTGTGATTGTGACAGAGTTGATAAGGTGGTTACAGAAAGGCTCCTGCCCCCCACCCCTGCTGGAGCAGGGCAAGGATGGTGTGAAGGTGGGGTGGGCCCCAGCCCCATCAGTCCCAGGGGTGTCCTCACATGCGCCTGCCCTGGGGTGCAGCGAGTGCTTTCTGATTCACGTCCCCCCCATCCCCTGGACTCCTCAGGCTTCTTCCCCTCCATGTGGCTTCCCATACCCGGGGAGCTTGGGCATGGCTGGAGTAGGGAACCTCGCTAGGAGAGCACCGAACCTCTCATCTGTCAAGGCTGTTCGTTTACATGAACTCTTGCCGTGTATAACATCTGAAAATTAAAGAAAAAGAATCCGCGTGGCAGGAACTTCCAGAGCCTGAGGGAGCCTTGGGTCCAGGGCTCACCTTGCTGCATCTCTGAACAGGCTGGCAGAGATTGCTTCTGGAAGGTGATGGAGAGGGAAAGAAGGGGAGCCCCCTGCCTCTGTGCTCAGAAGAGCTCTCACTGCTGCTCTGGACCTTGCGAGTTGGACCCCATGACGACTCTCTAAAGCCAGTTTGCAGTTCCCCTTCCCTGCCCTCCTGCACACCTGAGCTCGCCTGTCACAGCCCTGTAGGGACATCCTTACTTCTGACAGGACTCAGCAAACAAGGGCTGGGCCCTTAGCTCAGGCCCCTGGGTACCTGCCCAGCTGTCCTGAGCACATATGGGTACCTTCCACACCCAACCCCTTTCTGGTCCTGGATTCTGCCCCAACCCCGAGGGATGGTGGGGCCTCGGGGCCCGGCCAGGTACAGAAGGGCCACAGGGCCTTGGCATGGCTGTGGGCAGGCCTGGCCCCTCTCTGCTTGAGGTCCTTCAGTTGAGAGGTTTCTAATGAATCTTCAAGGGACCCCACAACCAGAAGAGTACCCTGTACAGATTCTCAGCCAGGACACCCGGGGCTTTGCCCACATGCTCTCCTGGGGACAGGGAGCTGGCTTCTGCACACCCATGTTCTAGAGTCCTAGGTGGGCCTGTGGAAAGGGTCTGAGTCAGGTCTCTGCTTCCTTTCCTCCATGAGAACAGCCTCACTGTGAATCTGTCTCTCCCTCAGCACTGGGAGAGGGGGAAACTGGTTTTGGATTTCTTTTGAGCCCCCTTGGGCACTGATTGAAATTGATCTAGACCTTAAGTTAGCTCTCCTGTGGACATACTTCTTAAACACGGAGCATTTCTTATTGCTTACTGACTAGCTTTTAAAAAGAGGTTCATCATTTCTGGGCCCCAGATCTGGGTCTGAGGGAGGAGGACACAACCCCCCAGCAATGGATTCTGAGGCATTTTGCAGTTTTCATGCCATCTACTCCTCCTTCCCTGAGTGTCTTTGAAACCTAGAATCTGTATCCAGCTAGACTGGCCTTGCTTAGCTATCTACACAGCCGGCTCTGCAGCCTGGGATTGGAAAATGTGCCTGAGCCTGTGTGTTCCGTGGTGTAGCAATGGGGCAGGAAGCCAGGCTCTGAGCTTGCCTCTCCCTTCCCTGGTGCTGGCTCTGGCCATTGCCTTGTGCTCACCCCCAAGGCACAGAGTACTTTCTACCCACCCAAAACTGCAGGAAGGAAGGAGCATGCGGCCATCCGCAGGGTGCAGACATTCAGGTGTCCTGTGGTTTGGACATGCTGTCTGGGGTCTGGGGACCACAGTGGGAACTGGTTTGGTCTCGTCTCCCAGGCACAGGAGCTAGACGTCTGTGCCCTTTCTCCCCACCGTCCACACTTGGGCCCCTTGCTGTGCTCATCTTCTGCCCTGCTGGACATCAGGTTTCTGAGGAGTGACACAGATACCCACTGATGCCTGGGTCTACACCTTAAGGAAGATGCTCAGAATTTCAGTTCTCTGTCTTTCCAGCACATTCTGAGCATTTGTACATATCAGGCAAGAAATCAGACTTAAGGGCTTTTTCAAAGACCTACCTCCCTATAGAGACCAACAAAAATAGTGCTGGTCCTCATAGCAATGACTACTGCATTGATATTGTTTGCTAGCAACTGAATAATCAGCGAATAAATTAGGTAACTGGTGTCCGCCGGTGTAGGAAAGGCGAGCCGTTTGGGCTATGAAGGATAGAGTCCTGGCTCTGCTGGGGAGCAGGGTCCTAGGTGGGCCTGTGGGAAGGGTCTAAATCAAGGGAAAGCTCTAGAAGTCTGGCCCTGGTCACAGGGGAGGTACAAAAGGAGGAGAACTGAAGGGGTGGAGGGGAACTGGAGGCAGCCTGGGTCTTTTCATTAGGCTGTACATTGCCTTTTTGGGGGCTCTGGAAGGTTCTCCCACCTGATCCTTACAGGGGGCCTCTAGCTGGGCACAGCGAGGCCATTTTAACAGTTCTGCAGATGGAGGCACTGAGGTGCCGGTGGTGTGAGTTACACACAGTGTCACGTGGGCCACGTGGCTGGAGCACTCCTTGCTTCTGAAATCCCCTGAGACTTCCCTCGACCCAGGGTACAGCAGCCTGGAGGACCCTGTTCCCGGAAGGCTCTTGCCTCCCTGCTTCCCCAGGGAGTCGCCTGCCTCGGCTGAGGGCTGACTGACAGCTGCCTCTGGCTGCAGCCAGCCCTGGCCTGGGTGGGGAGGTCACTGTGTGTGCTGCAGGCTGGCCTCTTCCTTCTCAGCTGCAAGAGCCGGAGGATGTTAAAAAATGTCCCTGAGCAGCCAGCCCCAGGACTGTGCTGGGAGCAGTGGCATGTGCTGGGCCCTGTAGGCACGCTGGTGAGGAGCCGGGGGAGAGGGAGCAGCAGCCAGGCTCCGGATGGCCGAGAACCCAGGGGACCTCCTGGGTCACCACCCAGTCAATGCTGTGACACCCACCAGCGGCCCAGAGCCTGTCGATAGCCATCCTCATCTCCCGGCAGCCTCGGAAGTGGATTTACAACGACATGATAAAAATGAGGCTGTGTGATCAATGGATCCCTGGACGTCTCCTCCAGGAGACACCGATGTATATTGTAACAAAACTTTATTTTCCTCTGAAAATTGCCTACATGATTAATATGGCCCGACACAGCCCAAGCTGTTCCGCATAAAAAACAGCCTTTGCTGGCTTCCTCCTCGGGCTGCCCCCACCCGCCTTCCCTTCCTCTCCTTCCCACCCGCCGCCCTTCCTCTCCTTCCTCGGTTCTCCCTGCTCAGGGAGCTCTGTGTGGCTCTCACGGGGAGGCTGCTGCTTGGCTTTGTTCCGGGCTGGCACTGCAGTGGCTGAGACTGAGCATGAACAAGATCCAGGGCTGCCTGGACCCAGCAGTGCTCCTGTGACAGCCGTGACAGGGCTCCCGGCTCACTCCTCCCCACACCACCTGCCACGCACCAGAGGGCACAGCCCAGGTCCAGCCCACCTGGGCAGAGGGATCCTGCCCTCTAACTCTGTCCTCGGGCTGCTGTGGTGGCCTGGTGCTCCTGCCCTGGGGGTCTGGAAGGTTTCGGAGGAGTGGCCCTGGGCAGCACACTCCCCAGGCAGAGGCGCCTCTACTGGACGTTGGCAGATGTGTGACCCCTCTGGAGTGGCATCTCCGGGAGGGCAGGCAGCGCTGTTGAGTGCTGGGCCCACCAAGGGCCCAGATGTGGGAGGAATAGACCCTGGAGCTCAGATCTGAGAGTAGATAGTGCATTTTGGAGGTGAGGAGGGTACTGCTGCATGAGGGGGAGCCGGACTGGGAAGGGAGGACATCCCAGAGCGTGTTAGGCCGACTGCCACCATGGGGCTGGGGAACTCCTCTCCAGAGGAGGGTCCCGGGTATTGCTGCTTCCATTCCAGCAGTCCTTGGGCGGGGGCTCTGGGCCCAGGGGTCGTTGCATAGATGGAGCATAGAGTGTCCAGTTCAGGAAACGTGGGCTCCAGGAGGGGGCTCTGGGCAGACATGCACCAAAGCTGGGCCAGGAGATATGGGGTGCAAGGGGGATACGGGTAGGACAGATGGGTATGGACCGGAGACTGATGCTTCCCCTTTGCTTTGGGGGGACAGACATGGAAAAGAGGAACTGGACCCTAAGTGCTCCCCTCCTTGGGTTTCACTCTAAGTTCTTAGGGGGACTTAAGAGGGACCCATGGTGATGGCCTTGGGAGCGCTGTGTGACGGAGTGGCCAGATCCTCCCGTGTCCAGTGGTGCAGCACAGCCTTCCCGCTTCTTCTGACCAGCTTCCCCTTCTTCGTCCCCAGGTGTAAGGAGCTCAAGTACTCCAAGGAGCTGCCCCAGATCTCCATCATCTTCATCTTTGTGAATGAGGCTCTGTCGGTGATCTTGCGCTCGGTGCACAGTGCCGTCAACCACACGCCCACACACCTGCTCAAGGAGATCATCCTGGTGGACGACAACAGTGACGAAGGTAGGCCCAGCTGCCTGCGAGGACCCGCGTCGCCTGGATGGAGGTGCCACCTTCCTTCCCAGGATTGCTCCTGGAGCACCAAGGGAGAGGGAGGTGCCCTGGAGGAGAGTCTGGGCTGACGCTGGTTCCTTACTGCTGGACTTCCTGGGACTCTTAAAATACGGGCCAGGGTCTAGACCAGTCTCCCTTTCTCTTACCTAAAAGGGGTGATGGTGAAGGGCTGAATACCTCCGACCCCCACTCCGTTGTTCTTTTCTAAGAAGTGGATAACTAATCCTGTCCTGTTCAGGAACTGCTCATCTCAATCAGAATGGCCTTCTGGGCCATTGGGCCCAAAGCCACCATGGGTCAGAGAGAGCGGTGTTTGTAGGTCATTTGGAATTCAGCACTACTGGGAGCAGTCGATCAATTTAAAAAATGAAACAAGCAAATACCAGGTGGCAAAGCCAAAGTTCCCTGGAGGTCCTGGGAGACGAGTTGCGCAGTGAGGAAGGTGGGCATTGTGGAACGGGCCTCTCTGTTGGTGCCTGGCCCGTGTAGGCACTGTGCCTGCTGCAGGGAGGAAGCCCGCAAGCTCTCCACAGCCAGGACAGCCAGCAGTGAGCCCGCCTGATGGCCGGGGGCTGCCTCTGAGCAGCCGCAGGACAAGGAGAGAACACCCCTGCTTCCAGCGTGCTGAGCAGAAGGGTCACCCCGCCAGTGGGGTGGGGAAGAAAGCAGCTATGGGGGTCCTGTTTACATCCCGGTCACCTTCAGGAGCCGAGGACGCTCTGCCCCTTCTGACCGCCCACTGTTCCCAGGGGCCTTGAGTACCAAGCTGGGCACTCTGCCTTCTCTGGACTTCGGGTGGCTTGTGGACGCTGTCACTGGTGGACTCTCTTCCCTGGTGTCTTCCTTCATGTTGAGCCATCTTATTATCCGTGAGACCTGACATTGGTGGTCTTCTTGGGAGGAAGAAGTTCTTCCAGGGTTGAAGCTTCTGAATCATCCGGCAGGTCTCTCCTGACCTGACCTGGGCCCTCTGCAGTTTCCGTGCTGTGCATCAGAGCTGGCCTCCGGCCACTTCAGCAATACTCACAGGCGCCTCCTGGGACCCCTGTCCTGTGCCCCTCCTGGGACCCCGTCCTGTACCCATCCTGCTGGCTGAGTCCTGCTGGTTCTCAGGTGTCCCCAGTGTGTCCCCTCCTTGCAGCCCCTGAGGGTGTCCCTGTCTGTGGCTCCCTCTGCACCCTGCTGGCCATAGTGCTCACTAGCTGTGACTTTGGGGCGTCTCCTCAGCTGGGCTCCCTGTGCTTGGTGGACTTTGCTTCAGGGCCCAGCTGGTGGACCTTCGGTGAGTCTCACCCAGTGAGGGGATGGGTGAGGAAGCCCAGGAGGCGGGGGCTGTGGCCACGCAGCTGGAGGTGGCACAGACAGCTGGAAACCCCGAGCTGGTGACTGCCAGCCAGGCTGCACTGGGCTGAGGATCCCGCTGGGTGCCTCCCCGCGAGGAAGCTCATCAGGGCCAGCAGAGGAGGGATGGGAAGGCCAGGCGGGCTGCTGGTGCAGGCCAGCACTTGGTGCCCTGTGCTCAGCAGGGGTCTTAGGCTGGGCTGTCCTGGAAGCAGACCCCGAAATTAAGATCTCGGTGCAGAGGGCTCATTTGGACGCGAGGACAGCACCAGGAGCTGTGGGGCTGTAGGGAGCGGGGAGGGGAGGGAAGGCAGCCCCCAAAGACGGCGTGCGGCAGCAGGCGCAGAACCCCAATGGGCAGTGCCAGGAGCCGTGCCAGCTGCCCCCGGGGTGAGCCTACATCGGGAGCCACAGCGCTCAGGCCCCTTCAGCACTAGGCGCTGTAGCAGCAGATGTTTCTGGGACTCACCACGAGCAACCTCCGCTTTCAGAGCCCTGCAAGGATCAGGGGTCAGAACAAGCAGGCCCTGAGCCCGCTCTGGTGCCAGTTCAGGTCTGAACAAAGACAATCCGTGGTGCAGAGGGGGAGCAGAGGTCCTGGGGCCAGTCAGACCTCCAGGCCCATCCCTGTGCCCTCCGCCCTGGCCCCTCAGTACCCAGGGCTGGAGTTGGCTCTGCTAGCACCATTGCTTCCCGTTTCCTGGTCTAGTCTCCATATTTTCTCCAGAATGCCTTCTCTCTAACTAGAGGAAGAATTTATTTACTTTTTATTTTATTGAGATGTGCTTTTGTACTGAGCATTATCAAGTGTTATAAATGTTCTCATCTATGTGAAAAGCCCCCCACACCATAATTATGGAATCGAATTCCTGCCAGACATGAGTTTTGTATATGTAGAAAGACTAGGAGTTTATTTTCTCAAGTCTTGTCTGATAATGGTCTTTTAAAATCACCATGCACAGTGACCATTCCTCCCTGTGTTCTTAATAATATTCGGTTTATGCCTCTTGTGTTGGTTTCTCTGGCAGCTACAGATGGTGTCTGCACGCCCTCGTTATTAGTGGTGGTGGTGATCACCATGTGATGCCCTCTTGATCTTAAAAGCATCCCTTTTTTTTGCCCTGAATTTAGTTCTTCTAACATTAATATTGCCATCCTTGCCTACCTTCGGCTCAAGTTTGATTAAAACGTTACTTTTCCAGCCTAACAGTTTTGTTTTCTGAACTTAAAAGTAATGCATGCTCTTTGCAGGAAAATATGAATATATCGAAAAGGAAATATAATGGGAAAAAGCAAACATTGAAGACATCGGCCGGGGGCAGCTGCTCCTTCACGTGCCCTAAGCCCTCTTAAATGCCATCTTACATAGTGAAGATCACAGAGTATAAACAAGTCCATTCTCGGCTTTTCTCTCCCTGACGTATAAAGCATGATCATTTCCCATTTTATTAAAAAAGTGCGAAGGCATCATTTCAATGAGGTTAGAGTGGCCTTTCTCTGGCTGCACGAGGCCATGGTCCAGCTTGGCCCGGGGGTGGGTGAGAGGAGCCAGGTGACTCTACATCAGCCCAGATGAGACGGGATGGCCGCATTTCCCTTGTTAGGGTGCTTGATGGTGATGATAAGTCCCATTTCATTCAGCAGCAAATGGAAGTGGCTCAGGCAAAATGGCCAGGGCTGCTGCTCAGTCGAGAGTTTGCTCACCACCCTGGTCATGTCTGGGCCGCGGGCAAATCTGACAGTTCCTGCGGCTTCTTAGCTAGTGCAATTCTCTTGGGTGCCTCCACACAGTTCTCTAACTCCCCTTGGACTGTCTTGGCAGCTGCCCTTCCTGTCCCTTGGCTGCCTGCTGCCCTTGGGATGCTCAGGATTCTCAGCATCAGGACACCAGGGGAGGTCCCCGCTCTGTGTGCCTTCTCCCAAATCATGCCTTGCAGCCAGAACTGCTCCACCCCTCCCCCTGCTCCGCAGAGTGTCCTGACTCCTGGTGGCACCCGGGGCCTTGGAACTGGCACTCAGCTGGACCATGGCACCTGCCCTTCTCCCCTCAGCCTTAGAAGTGGCTTCTTGCCCTCGTTTCCTCTCAGCAGGGGGCTTCACCCCTAAAGACAGGAAGCCCTTCCCACTCTGTGTTCTGCCTCTGTGTTCTCCACCTGGGTCTTGATCTAGGTCCTCAGCCTTGTTTTGCCCCCTTTTCCTTTGGGGTCGCTGGCGAGGGGACATCCAGGTGCATGGAGCTATATGGGCCATTATGTTTTACAACCCTGTCATTATTTCATGCCTGGACATCTTTTATTTATTTTCCCTTTTCTAATTGAGGTCAAATGCATCACTTTCCGTGGGTTCACCACTTTCTAATTCCAGAAGATTTCTAATGTTCCCCCAGAGAAACCCCATACCTGGTATCCCCCAAAAGCTCACATGTAAAACAGTGCAAGAAGGTTTGGAGGAAAAATGATTGGGTTATAGCCTTAACCTAACCAGTGGATTGATCTCTGATGGGATTTGCTGGTGTTAATTGGAGGCAGGTGGGGTGTGGCTGGAGGAGGTGATTCACTGGAGGTGTGGCTGTGGGGTAGATATTTGTATCTGATGAGTGAAATCTCTCTCTGCTTCCTGATCTTCATGTGAGCTGTTTCCCTCTGCCTCGCTCTTATGCCCTGATGTCTTGGTTCACCTTGAGCCCCAAGGGATGGAGCCAGCCTTCTATGGACTAAGATCTCTGAAACTCTGAGCCCCTAAATACCCTTTTCTCCTCTACAGTCGTGCTGGTTGGGTCATTTAGTCATAGCAGCATAAAAAGCTGACTAAAGTGGGTTGTTCCTACTGTTTGGCTGTCAGGAATAGTGGTGCCCTGAACATTCAGGTGTCAGTCTCCATGTGGACATGTTTTCAGTGTTCTTGGGTACATACCAGGAGTGGTCTTGCTGGGTCGTGAGAGATCTAGGTTGACTCTCTGAGAAACCATTAGACTCTTTTCTGTAGCAGCAGCACCATTTCACACTCCCACCAATGACATGCAAGGGTTCCACTTCCCATCCTCGACCACACTTGCTACTTTCTTTTTCTAAAACATTAAGGCCATCCTTATTGTCATGGGTTGGAATCTTGTGGTTTTGATTTGTATTTCCCTAAGACTAATTGTTGGAGCCTCTCCCCATGTGCTTATTTCCATTGGTCTACCTTTTTTGGAGAAATGTGCATGTGAGTCCTTTTCCCTTTTTAAACATTTGTGTCTTTATTGTTGATTTGTAATTGTTCTTTATATATCCCTACTCTCCCTTATCAAAAATATTCTACAAATAGTTTTGCAAGTGTGTTTGCAAATGTTTTCCCTTGTGTGGATTTTCTCCATATTCTTGATAGTGTCCTTTGATGTACTGAAGTTTTTCATTTTGATTAAATACAGTTTGTCTATTTTTCCTTTGGGTTCTTGAACTGTTGCTGACATGTCTAAAAACCTGTGTCTTCACCCAGGTCACAAAGACTTACATTGATGTTATCTTCTAAGAGTTTTATAGTTTTAGCTCTTACATTTGGGTATTTGTCAGTTGTGAGCTAATTTTTATATATGGTTTGAGGTAGGGGGCCAAGTTCATGTTCCCCAC